ATATGCCTATTTCGGTACTTATACAATCTAGGTGGGAGGACTTCGTAGTACATGAAGTCGAAACCCCCTACGAGATCTGCAAACTTACGTCAATTGTTCCGATTGAATGCAAGAATGGAATATCTGTAGCCGTAGATTTTATCTGACTTTTTCTATAGGACGACCACGAAGCCCTTGAGGATATGATATTGCCTATCGAAATTGACGAGGTTCTTAAGGAACTTGATCGGGAAACCATGTTCGAAGCTTCTTTTCCGGTAAATGGAAGTCGAGATATATTTTTAGGCCTCCAACGACAAAGGTGAACGCGAGCGCTTTCATAAAGCCATACGACACAACTATCCGTCATTGGTCAGTCGTACGGCCGATGTGGATAATAATCGTTTTGTCATCGTAACGAAGGCGAGCCATGCTAAAGGTTTGCGCAAATTCTTCTAACTGTCTTAGGACAAAAGGGGTGGGCACGAGTTGCAAAGGTCTACGACCCTCCGAAAGAAACACCATATTGCCACTTTACTTTGTACAAAGAGGGAAAAGATACTATGAATGCCTTACAAATCGTTGGGCGGATGCTAAAGTTTAATTAATACAGCTTTCTGAGTTCTCAGGATTAATTCTAATACATTTAGTTACGCTGGAACAAAAGACAAGAGGGCGATAACGACCCAACGAGTCTCAGTTAAAAAGTAAGCTTCCACTTTGTGCCTTTATTTCAAACTTCATGTCCTTTCGTCAAAGCCAAATTGCTTATGGCACATGTAATTATCTGAGCCGTTCTTGCTGTCTGATACCAGTTTCACTTTGACCAAATTTTACGTTCCTTTTATTCCGTTATTGGATGAGATAGAGTTAGTATCTCCTTTGGTGATAGAACTTTTCGTCTCACAGGACTCATCACTTTCCATTGCTGCAGTTTATAAGGATTCGAACTAGTCAGAATATTAATTATGCTTGATGCCCCTTTACTCTTGAGAATATTAGTTTTGCCGTCCTCTCATAAGAAGGTTGCCGCCTTCAAGGACTTCTCTTATATCAAGTTCGCTGTTTCCAACTAGCGTCAAGAGTACTTGTGCACGCCTTTTCGGCAAAGGCCGTCTTATTACATCTGCTCCCTGCTACTTATACTGTGCTTTATTTCTACGGCTGTCATAAGTTGCGCTCTCCTGTTTCACTACTCCCAAACCCGTTTGCTGTCTTTCATGCTGTAGCCTACCTGTTAATTTTCTTCTTTTTAGTATATCATCCAAGAGACTTGCATCGTTAAATCCTCGTCTTAATGGCATTAAAGTAGGAAACTTCAAGTATCTTCCGCACTCCATCTCTCTTGGCGATCTCTATGGTAATCGTTTTTCACTCGCTATAAGGTGAGTTATTGAAATTATTCAACAAACAGGATTACATCCATTCAGTAAAAACACGTATTTATGTTTTTTTCTGACCAATGGTATAATGCGTTTATCTGCTAATTGACATCCTCTTTTTGCTTACTGTTCGAATATTCACCGGCAACTTAAGTATCCACGCTCTTGTTACTCGAAAAATAAATTTAGTGTTTTTTCCTGCCTACTGGATGTTGTTTTGGGTATGAATATACGGCTCTAATTGTTAAAAATAATCGTGCCCAATCTGATATTGTTTTTGATGTAGACGTTGTTCATACCCTCACAAGGATCTCGAATTGTGAAATAACTGGGAACTTTTGCTTTTAGTCTGTGGTCCCTTCCTTTTTATGGGAAGCTTAAACTATTTTTGTTTTGTTAAAACAGAGCCCTGATTCGCCTGCTTAATTCTTGCTATGCGAACTGGGGTTTTCTGCCAGTGGCTGGAATCATTCTCCTTATGACTTATCAACAACCCTGTGAATATACTCTCATTTGCTAGTTTTTAAGTGCACCATAGCCTATCTGTATAGGGTATCATCTGTACAGGGTACAGGATATCTACTTCCAACGTTACGCTTTATTTCAGTCGCTGTTACCGTACCTTACATTATCACATGGTAAAATCTCGTCGGCATTGCATCACGTTGAAACATCTGACAGTTACTCACCATAACTCTTGGCTAATTTCCTTTTACTTGCCTTTATCAGCTGTCTGATAGTCTTCTGCTA